GACAGAGACTGGAGAAACCCCGAGAGTATGGCCCCTGGATACTCTTTTAGCTCAGTAATGAAGTCACTCCTGAGGTTCACCCTTCATCCAAAGATTAGACAGCCCCACAAAACAAAATGAGACTAAAGGGGCTCACCAGCCCAGGGACAAGGACTAGAAGGCAGGAGGGGACAGGAAAGTTGGTAATAGGGAACCCAAGGTTGAGAAGGGAGAGTGTTGACCTGTCGTGGGGTTGTTAACCAATGTGACAAAACAATATGTGTATTAATTGTTTAATGAGAAGCTGCTTTGTTCTGTAAACCTTCATCTAAAGTACAACAAAATAAATAAATAAATAAAATATATACAAAAAAAGAAAATGTCATGGCTTGGGTCAGGCGCGCCCTTAGTCCTCAAAGTGACACCTTTGCTTTTTAACACTTTAAAGAGGTCTTTTGCAGCAGATTTGCCCGACGCGATACATTATCTGATTTCTTGACTGTTGCTTCCATGGGTGTTGATTGTGGATCCAAGTAAAATGAAATCCTTGACAACTTCAATCCTTTCTCCGTTTATCAGGATGTTGCTTATTGGTCCAGTTGTGAGGATTTTTGTTTTCTTTATGTTGAGGTGTAATCCAGGGGTGAGAGGGAGGGGGAAAGGGGGAACTTTTGCTTAGGGGGCATTGAGTTTGTGTTGAAGGTGGTGGAATAATTTGGAAAAGGATAGTGAGGATGGTTGCCCGACTTGAAGAATGTAATCAATGCCACTGAACAGTACGTGTAGAAGTTGTTGAATTGATGTATGTTTTGTTATGAATATTTTCACCACTGCTAAAAAAACCAATATGAGAAAGACCAGAGAACTTTATAGTTATAGACTCTTAGAAGCTTAGACCTTCAGAACTTGTATTCTAAATTCACACAAATGCAGGACATGTATTGTACACCCTTGAATTTTAGCACTTTATAGGACTTTGATCATTGACATTGCAACTTTATAAGCAAAGACCTCTAGAACCTCAGGCCCTCAGAGTCTTATAACTTTGTAATCACAGGCTGTGAAACTATTAGACACTTGGGACTCTAAAATATTAAAAACATGGAGTGTTGTAACCTTAAAATTTAGATTGTTATAATCATGAAATCTTTTAAAAACTTTTTTTTATCGTGGTAAAATATACATAACATAAGGAGCCCCGATGGTGGGACAGTTGCACGCTTAGCTGCTAACCAAAAGGTTGGCGATTTGAATCCACATAGCTGCTTAGCAGAAGAAAGACCTGGCAATCTGTTCCTGTAAAGATAACTGCCTAGAAAATCCTATAGGGCAGTTCTGCTCTGTCACATGGGGTAACTGTCAACTCGATGACACCCAAAAACAACATACATACCATAAAATTT